CCCATTTGTTAATATTTGGTCCAGAGCTGTAATTTTGCGGAGAGTCTTCGTCGGGTTCAGACTTGTTGGCATGCAGCGGGACTTTGTTTTTTCGGTGGGTCGGCGGGTGTCGTTCATCGGAAATGACGCTGGATTACATCAATGAATCCATTTTTTTTAAATAAAGGAATTGTCAAAAATGTATTTTTGTTCAATTAAAGGACTTTCTTTCATGGTATGGCACAGAGAGGGAGGGGGCGCTCGATCCCACATTTCCTCCTCCCATTTTTTAGGGGTGGGTTTCCCTCTTAAAATTCCTACCAGACCTAAAGGGCTTGGTAAGACTTTTGGAGAACCCCATGCACTTTTTTTTTTACCCTGGGGGAATCCCTCCTAACATTCCTACCAGACCTAAAGGGGGGGTTAGAACTTCACGCTTTTCCCCCCTCTCTTCTGCAGACTGGAAAGCTGCCCATACACCTTACAATTATCTGCAGATGTTCTATGGTCAGATGGAAAAGGTGCAACAGATTCCTCCATCTACACTTAACTGTGTGGATGGAGTAATCTCCACCTGGGCCAATCTGTTGCACTTTTTCCATCTGACCACAGAAAATCTGCAGATAATTGTGTATGGGCACCTTAAGAAAAGAAAAAAAAAGTAATTATTTTTTCTTTTGTCTAATGTCACTTTGCTGCAACAAAAATTTGTTCATACTACTGCTAACAAAAATTCGGATTTCGCCCAAATCCCTAAATTAATTGACTATCGGACACGAATCCCGAAAAACGGATTAACGAAAAATCCTAATCGAAACAAATTTATTGCCGACGCACATGTCTTGTAAAATTATTCCTGCAGGTGTTTTAGACATTCACTACGCTATTTAATATGAAAAATGGTTTAAAATAGCCTTTATGCACCCCCTTCCTGCCCAGGCCATTTTTCAGTATTCAGCGCTGCGGTACTTTGACTGACATTTATTCCGTCATGCAACGCTGTACTGAAATTCATTTTATACCATTTTTTGGTGGTATTTAATTACCACTGGGGTTTTTTATTTTTTACTATATTAAGGAAAAATTACAGAAAATGTTGAAAAAATAAAAAAACTGTTTTTCCTACATTGTTATGAAAGATTTATTATTACCCAATTGTTTGGTATGTAAATGTATGTATTTGTAAAAGACAGGATCACGTCAGTTAAATAGACACCAAACAAGCCTTATAATTGAGCGTGCCCGCAAAATGAAATAAAAACGAAATTGGCCAAAGGCGACGCTTTTAAAAGCTTTTACCGCTCATCAGTTTTGTGTTATCAGTGATTGACGATGCCCCCTATGTGATAGGAAAGAGGATGTGACAGGTCCTCTTTATGGAGACATCAGTACCTCCAATGTCACCTAGGGAACCCCAAAGAAGCTGATGAAGCAGACATCTGCTTCACCATCTTCTCTCGGGCTTCTGTATCCCGAAAATGATGGCTAAATGCGGAAATAATGTAATATACATCACTTCCTCCATTCTGACACCAGAGAGGAGATCAGAGGGAGATCGTGTACTGATACCCCTCTGATATCCGTTCACAGAGCTGCCGCGCTGGTTCCGGGCAGAGCGGAGTTCGGGACCAGCGGCTGCGGGGATTGTGGGCACCGAGCGGCACAAAATACCAGCATTTACAGCGGCACAAAATAAAGCATTTACAGCAGGGTGTTTCTATGACGTTTCAGTTGTAGGTAATGCTGGACTTTTAAATAAGAAAGCCCAGTACTGCCTCCTTATTTGTTTACTGTCTCTAGATAAACCATATCAGTTTGTATGATCTAGCAGACAGGAAGGGTGATGGGTCAATAAGTGAATAATAAGTGATAATATTTCAGTGTTGAATGATTCTAGATATGGAAATGTTGACTGATGTTTATTTGTATTTCTCCTTCTAACCGACTTTAATTTAGTATTTGTCTTGTCATTTTTTTCTGCCAAACCACACTGTATAGAATATATACTGTACATATATTCTATACAGTGTGTAGAATAAAACAATTCTGGAGGAAGTTGTTTGTGTCTTTTCTTTCTAATGATCACATTTTACTCTGGGCCTATTTGTAGAACATTAAATCATGGCTCCTTTATGTTTTAAAGAGAAATACTTATAACGCAGCAAATGACAATTTGCAGATCATTTGCCTCATCGCTGAAAGATTTGCTGCATTTATAAAAACACTCACAGTGCCCACATATGCCTGCGTGTCCCCCTGATAAAGTCACTTAGACCACTGTGTACCCAATTCTTTATTTCCTGTTCAGAAATCTAGGTCTCTATAGCAGCGGTCGCCAACCTTTCGGACCTCATAGACCACTAAATTCATAATTTTAAATCCCGCTAGCTCTGCAACTGTGTAGTGTAAACATGCTAGGAGCAGGGTTGTAGAATTTTTTTTTCCCTGGGGGGGTTCAGCTTCCTTAAATTATAAGACTTTACCTAGAAGACACACCAAGGTTTGAAAATATACCAGTCATATCATATCATTTTGTTGTTTGACACCATATGGATAAAAACCACTTTTTAAAAAGACTTATAATTGGTACCAATTCACACAAACCGCTTAGTATACACTTATTGGAATTTGTTTTACCAAAAACATTTAGCAGAATACATTTTGGCCTAACTTTAGGAAGAATTTGATTTTATTTGATATTTTGTATAATAAAAAGTAGAAAATATAAAAAATGTCCACAATTTGTGGTCTTTTTTCATTTATATAAAAAAATAAAATACATAAAAAAAAACAAGCACCAAAACAAATGTCTATTTGTGTAAAAAATTAGGCGCCCGGGGGCAAGTCTTTCATTAGCGCCCCCCCACAAATCAATCCATAGTTCAATGCTCTAGACCCTTGGTTCTCAGCTGGTGGGTCATGACCCAGAAGTGGGTCGCAACCCTGTGTTCAGTGGGTCCCCGTGCGCCTTCCACTTTTCTAGGTGAGTGTCTCCTCAGCCTCCCCTAGCTCAGCACTGTCAGTTCTTGCGCCAAGCAGCCATTCAAAATATGCTGCCCGGTGCAGAGTGTCACCTTGAGGTAGAGTGGGCTCCATCCATATGTGCATTGTTTACAGCTCCCTCACATGTCCTGTAGAGGTGCCTGGACCGGTGTGATGTAACATACTGGCTCTCGGCACCTCTACAGGGTGTGCAAGGGAGCTGCACAAGCACTGCACATATGGATGGAGCTCCATCACAGTACAGTAGCCCACACCGGAGTGTGTGAGATTGTGTCTGTGGTTGTGTGTTTTTGAGGGCCCATTCACACTAGTACAGTGCGTTAATCGCACAGTCCCGTGTTAACGCACTATACTTCGCAATCGCACCTACCACACGTTTTGGTGTGAGAAGTGCATTGCATTGCCATTCATTTGAATGGCACCCCAAATGCACCGCCCGCCCACAGTTCTATTGCCCGCATCGGAATGTGCAGTACCGCAATGCCGTGTGTTCCATTGCAGTTCAACTTGGGTCACTACTTAATGACCAAGGACAAATGTGGGTCCTGAGGTTACACAAGTTGAGAACCACTGCTCTAGACCAACTGTTCCCTTGCCTATGTTTTCCCCTCCTGATCCACCTTCAAATCACCTCATTCTCCAGGTGTTGCCCCTTCTAATCTCTCATGGAGGAGAGACTTGAGTGATTTTAAGCCTACACTCCATGGTGGTTCAGGAGGGGTGTTGCCGCACCAAAAGAAGGGAGCACAGAAGCGGGTCTAAAGCCACTGATCCACCATGGAGGCCCACCACATAGTAATACATTATACAGCAATGCAGAATACCACCAGCTATAGAGGACCACAAATCCCAGCAATACATTATATAGCAACGCAGAATAATATGAAGCTACATACTCTGTGTTTCTCCAGGGTGGTGGGCTGTGTGGAGTCTCAGGTGGGCTGTGCAGAGTTTCAGGTGGGCTGTGCAGAGTTTCAAGTGGGCTGTGCAGAGTCTCAGGCGGGCTGTGCAGAGTCTCAGATGAGCTGTGCAGAGTCCCAGGTGGGCGTGTGGAGTCTCAGGTAGGCTGTGGGGGATCTCAGGTGGCCTGGTGGGGTCTCAGGTGGGCTGTGTGGAGTCTCAGGTGGGCTGTGTGGAGTCTCAGGTGGGCTGTGGGGGTCTCAGGTGGCCTGGTGCGGTCTCAGGTGAGTTGTGCAGAGTCTCAGGTAGGCTGTGGGGGTCTCTGGTGGCCTGGTGGGGTCTCTGGTGGGCTGTGCGGAGTCTCAGGTGGCCTGGTGGGTCTCAAGTGTCACCTGTGTGATTGCATTCGGAAGTGATAGGTTCTCTTTATGAGCCTGCCCTCCAGTACAGACTCGGGACATAGTGAACACACTGGACTCGGGACATAGGGAACGCATTGGACTTGGGACATAGGGAACGCACTGGACTCGGGACATAGGGAACGCACTGGACTCGGGACATAGGGAACGCACTGGACTCGCGACATAGGGAACGCACTGGACTCAGGACATAGGGAACACACTGGACCCAGGACATGGGAACGCACTGGAATCGGGACTTTGCAACACAGTTACGCTGTTAAACGGCCGGGAGTACGTGCCCCCCTCTGCCCTCCCCCCGCTAGCCACTGCCAGGACACTCTGGGGGAGGTTTGAACCCCCCTATCCCCCCTCCCCTTATCTACGCCACTGGCTAGGAGGGCCCAATCATCATCCAGCAGCTCCATAGGGACATAAAGCTCATATTAACCTTTGGGTTCCCTTTTAATGGATGGGACAAAATGAAATAGGTGCACTTTGATGAAATGATGGGATTGACTGCAAATCCGGTGGAAATGTTTTTTGTTATGTGGCGGTTGTTTATGGGAGAGATATGGATCCCTAGGTCAGAAACTCATCTTTCTGGTATGTCCCTTTAAATACCAAAGTACAAAGTTTAGTCACACCCTCACCACATGTCCAGTTTAGTGGATTTTGTATGTCAGAGTTTCACTTTCATTTCTTTGCTCTGCTGTAACAATGGCATCTGCAGATGTGAGAAAGGATCTGCTGGACTGTTCTATCTGTCTGAACATTTATACGGATCCTGTAACACTGAGATGTGGACACAACTTCTGCCAGGATTGCATTGATCAGGTGTTGGACACACAGGAAGGATCTGGAGTTTATTCCTGTCCTGAATGCCGAGCAGAGTCTGTGGAGAGGCCTGTACTGGTAAGGAACATAACCCTGTGTAACATCGCAGAGAGTTTCCTCTTTACTCAGCCAGCTCAGGAGGAGACTGGAATCTTCTGCACTTACTGTGTGGACTCGTCTGTACCTGCTGTTAAATCCTGTGTGTTGTGTGAAGCTTCTCTGTGTGATAAACATCTGAGAGTCCACAGCAAGGCACCAGAACATGTCTTAACTGAACCCACCACCTCCCCGGAAAAAAGGAAATGCTCCATCCATAGGGAGCTTCTGAAGTATTTCTGCATCAAGGACTCTGTATGTATCTGTGTGTCTTGTAGGTTGGATGGAGAACACCAGGGACATCAAGTAGAAATGCTGGATGAGGCTTCTGGGAAGAAAAAGAAAAGACTGAGGAATGTTCTGCAGGAACTGATCACCAAGAGAGAGGAGACCGAGAAAAGAGTCCGGAATGTGCAGGAACGCAAGAGCAAAGTACATAGGAGAGCAGATAAAGTAGCAAAGGAGGTCAGCGCCTTGTTCACAGAAATCAGGAGACAGCTTGAAGATCTGGAGAAGAGGGTCCTGAGTGAGATCTCCAGGCAGAAAGATGAGCTTTCACTCTCCATCTCTGACCTATTACAGCAGCTGGAATTAAAGAAGGATGAACTGTCCATGAAGATTCATCACATTGAGGAGCTGTGTAACATGACTGATCCAATGACTGTCTTACAGGGACCAGACATGGGTGATGCTGAGGAGAGAGATGACAAAGACCAAGAGAGACAAGAAAAGCATCTCCCTGATGGAGGTCATCTGGATGTGGGTTTTATCTCACAAACATTGCACACATTATCTCGTATGATGAGAGATGTAAAGATAGGGATCCATATACCAAAACCTGCAGACATGTTCCTGGATGTAAACACAGCTCATAATGAGCTCCATATCTCAGATGACAGGAAAACTGCATCCTGTTCAGAAAAAAAGCAGAATCGTCCAGAGATACCAGTCAGATTTCAGCGGTTTTATAATGTATTGAGCAGCAGTAGTTTTTCCTCCGGGCGGTATTACTGGGAAGCTGAGTGCTGTAAGGCAGCATGGTGGAAGATAGGGATGTGTTATCCCAGTATAGAGAGGAAAGGAGACCAGTCATGCATTGGTGATAATGACAAGTCCTGGTGTCTGCAAAGGGAAAAAGGTCTCTATACAATCATACATGACAGCAAAGTGATCTACCTACCACACAAGATTTCCAGTAACAGGGTCAGAATCTCTCTGGATTATGAGGGAGGGAAACTGTCATTTTATGAGCTGTGTGAGCCGATCAGACACCTCCACACCTTCACCGCCACCTTCACTGAGCCCCTTCATGCAGCAATAAGTGTGTTCTGGAGAAAAAAGGATGGGGTGTATGTAGATAGTTGGGTAAGAATTGTAGATCTTCAAAGATAATCCACATGTAGAAATCTGGGAAGATTTTTTTTGACATCACAAGCTGGTGATCCAAACTAGCCAGCTAAAGTATTGGGCCAGCTATTAATTAAAGTGTATGTCTATGCAGAATAAAAACAAATGCATATATTCTCTGCAATGGATGAACACTCCTCCATGTTTTGCCACAAATCTAGTAATCTCCTAACTTCCTGTAGTGAGCTGACAACATGGTGTCTCTGTTACACTGAATTTCCAAGCAATGTTGTCAGCCCTGCCAAGTTCTCTTTCTGAACTACAGAACACCTGCCCTGCCCTTATTTTCATAACATAGTGTCCTGTGTGTTCTGGAAAGAGGGGGGTGGGGTGCATAATTGAGTACGGATTGTAGACATTAAAAAAAATAAAAATAAAATAAATCTGGTGACAGTTTACAGATATCAAAAGCTGGAAATCCTGACTAACAATCTTAAAAACTGGTCAGATCAATAATTTACATACGCCCCCCCAGCATAGGTTCCAGGTATATATAGAGAATTCATAACCCAAAGTGCAAATATTTAACGTGTATCTGAAACCAATACTTTATTTGATAGTTTAGGACGGAGGGGTAAATCTCCCTGATGAGACACAGATGGTAAAAAAAAAATTCTTGTGGAGGTTTTAACTATTCCCTACTCTATTGAATGTGAAAACATGGCTTTAGATAGTTTATAAAATGTATCTAAACCCCAGAACAAAAATGTAATATATTTCAGCTTACCAGTCCTTAGATGTGGTGCTGCATTTGTTTTCTTTATTTAAGACTATTTTCAGCTGGTGATTCTGACAATAGCATACCTCCTGTCCTAGGGTGACAATGCCACTTACTGTACTGTATTTATGGCAAAACAGCTGTATCTTTGGCAACAGTGTTACTGTAGTTCTAGGACAGGGCTACAATAGACAGGACTACAATAACACTGTAAAGAATGTAAACATAGACACCCCTCAAAATAACATGTTCAGTTTTCAGAAAACTTTGGTCGATCGTACGATTTTCGCAAGCTCGGTGGCGTTTCCGTACGTCAAAATTCGTACGATTTTCACTGCATATGCGAAGACGAAATCATGTGTGGTCGATTACCGCAATTCGTCCAGGTGATTTCTTTTTATTACTGCTGATTCAACCCTGCAATAATCGGCGCAGGATGGAGCCGCAGTACGAAAATCGTACGACGGTTCGATCATCGGACAAAAAGTTTTGTACGATGATCGCAAGGTGTAGGAGCAGCTTTAGGGAGATTATTTTCTCATCGCTGGAAGATTTGCTGCATTTATAAAAACACTCACAGTGCCCACATATGACTACGTGTTCATAAGCATAACTGGGAACAGAATAGATTAGAATGGTCTAATTCCTTGGTTCTCAACTGGTGTGTCGTGACCCAAAAGTGGGTCGCGACCGCCTGTTCAGTGGGTCCGTCGCATGCCTTCCACTTTTCTAAGTGAGAGGCTCCTCTGCCTCCCCCTAGCGCAGCACTGTCAGTTCTTGTGCCAAGCAGCCATTCAAAATATACTGCCCAGGGCGTTGCATTCATTTGAATAGTACCCCAAACACACTTCCCAACCACAGTTCGTACGCCAGCATCGGAACAAGCAGTACCCTAATGCCGAGTGTTTCATTGCAGTGCAGACATTACAGACTTGGGTCGCGACTTAATGACCGAGGACAAATGTGGGTCCCGAGGTTACACAGGTTGAGAACCACTGGTCTAATTATTGTTCCAGTGACAAGTGAAAGCAAATGCAGTGTGATTATAGGACAGGTTGCATCTTCCTTAGTGTAGCATTGGGGGAGGATATTCCCAGCGGACAGACCACGTGGTGATTTTGCATTTGGATGTTAATCATAATAATTCTGTACTGTGCCTGCACAGTTTTTATGCTTTATATATTGTATTATTGTTTAGTCAGTTACACATCTGTTCCCTCAGTGATGAGTGTCCTCCATTCTATTGCAGTCCGTATTAAAGCACTCTAATTTCACCCTCCCCGATCGGACTGTGGAGTTTATTCGTCAGAAGTCCAACACTTACACCCTCCTCCACTCCATAACATTGAGGGAAGGGGATCTGTGATCCTTCAGAGATAGCTGGAAATCAAGTAACTGATAAAGAGTGCAGCACAAGCAGAGAGCTGAGGAAGTTATCAGCTGACAGGATTTCTGGCAGGATCAACAAGGATTTTCTTAATTTATCGAACAAATAAAACATAACATTTTTCAATGGTATATTTAAGCGATCAAAAGAGAGCAAATAAGAGAAGTTTATTATTAGGGTTTATATAACCTTTAACTTTTGTCTGACATTCATCATTCCCCTGACAACAAAACACCCAACACTGCTCCGCTCTCTGACAGACTTTACATTACAGGAAGTTGGCTCTTGTTAGACATGCAGACGAGGGGTGCCCACCTCTTCTTCCAGGTCACTGTGAGGTTTTTACTGCTGTCTGTATCCTCATTAGAAAGATTAACAGGGCTATTCACAAAAGCGTGAATGGTTTGGAGAAGTCAGGAGGAGTGAACAATCTAGGACAACATAGCTGAACTGGACAGTGAGCTGAATTGGAGAATTTTTCCAAATCAGCTATGTTGTCCTAGATTGTTCACATCTCCTGACTTCTCCAAACTCTTCACCCTTTTGTGAATAACCCTGTTAATCTCACATCCTGTCCTTGAGACAACAGGAAGTGAGAGGAAATCTACCCCTAGGAAGGGAAGTTCACTCCTGCAAGAGTTATCATGGGAAAAAGGCGTCTCCACTGAAGCTAAACCCAACATTTTCAAAATCCAATTGTCACAGGGACAGAAAGTGAGGTGAAATCTTCTGAACGGGGGCACACACAGCAAAACAAACTTTACAGGGGGATAACCCTTCCCTATGCTATCCAAAACTAAAAAAAAACATTTTTTTTTGGCTTGATTTACACTTAAAAAATGTACCTGTTCCAACTTACAAACAAATTCAACTTAAGAACAAACCTACAATCCCTATCTTGTTTGTAACCCGGGGACTGCCTGAAATTAACTTTTAATTGCTTGTATTTTTTTTTTGTATATCAATAAGCATTTAATGCGGGGTGTTTCTATGATCTTTCAGTTGTAGGTAATGCTGGACTTTTTAATAGGAAAGCCCAGTACTGCCCATAAACCATATGAGTTTATATAATCTAGCAGACAGGAAGGGTGATGGGTCAATAAGTGAGTAATAAGTGATAATATTTCAGTGTTGAATGATTCTAGATATGGAAATGTTGATGGATGTTTATTGGTATTTCTCCTTCTAATGCCAGCTTTTATTTTGCATTTGTCTTGTAACTTTTTCTGCTGAAACTAAACTTAAACATACCCACTAGCTTTAAGGTTTCTATACAGTGTGTATAATAAAACAATTGTGAAATATCTTCTTTGTGTCTTTTCTTTCTAATGAATACATTTTGCTCTGGGCCTATTTGAAGAACCTAAAATCATGGCTCCCTTATGTTTTAAAGAGGGATACTTATAAAGCAGCAAATGACAATTTACAGTTCATTTGCCTCATTGCTGGAAGATTTGCTGCATTTATAAAAACACTCACAGTGCCCACATATGCCTACGTGTTCACCTGGACCGCTGTGTACCCAATTCTTTATTTCCTGTTCAGAAATGTAGGTCTCTAGCATTCACCAGCGCTGGGTGCTTTCGAGCACTCACTATTTTCATAGGACTGTCAATGTCATAATCAATTTTATTATTCATCCCTATGTAAGCCTACCATGGTGCTCGTCCATGTTCGCTGCACACTTGCCTCAATGCAACTAAGGGTTTTGTCCTAAAAATCCCTGTTTGCTTATACATAAACAATGTGCATCTAGTGGCTCAATATCAGTGAATGGGATGTGAATTTCATGGTATCTAGACAATCTTAAAGTGTAAGTAAGGTTTTTTTTTTATGACTGAAGAGACGGTGTAAGTTACATCTTCGGGGCACAGTCAATCAAGCTGCTGAAGACTTGAAAACCAGACTGTGGTAAAGATGGAAGCACCGACCAGGGAGGTGCACAGCACTGAGGGGATAAGTGTGGCATGTAAGTCTGTCATAATATGTCTTCCATGCTAGCACATTACAGCTTAAAGCTCCAGGGGAACCTTTAATTCAGAAAAAATGCTTTACTTTGCCTTTATTCAGATTTTTCTTTTTATACACATACCCCCTAAAGCAGGGGTGGGGAACTCCGGCCCTCCAGCTGTGCTTTAACCACAATTACCAACATGCCTCTGCATCTGGGAGTCATGCCTATGGCTGTGAGAATCTTCCAATGCCTCATGGGACTTGTAGTTCTACCACAGCTGGAGGGCCAGAGATGCCCACCCCTGCCCCATTATTATACAGGATTTATAAAGAGCCAACAGTTTGCTCAGCGCTTTACAACATAAGGAAGACATTACAATCGTCCAAGAAATCGTCCAAACGTTTCTTGAACAATTCCACATTATTTGCTGAAATCACCGCCTGTGGCAGTGAGTTCCAGACCCTAACCGCTCTTACTGTAAAGAACCCCCTTCGCCCCTTGTGATGGAATTTTTTTTCCACCAATTTTAGGTGGTGGCCTCTAGTTTTTGTAACGGAGTTAATTTTAAACAGTTTATCGCTAATGTTGCTACCACCATTGAACATTTTGTACATGGAAATCATATCCCCCCTTAATCTCCTCACCTCCAATGTGAACATGTTTAAATTTAGTAGCCTTGTCTCGTAGCTCTGGTCCTCCATACCCCTAATTAGTTTGGTTGCCCTCCGCTGGACTTTTTCCAACTCAAGGACATCTTTTCTTAGTACTGGTGACCAGAACTGGACCGCGTACTCCAGATGAGGTCGAACCAATGATCTATAAAGTGGCAAAATTATAGACTTGTCCCTGCAATACATCCCCTTCTTAATACAGGACAAGACCCTGCTAGCTTTGTTTACAGCAGCCTGGCGCTGCAAACTATCTTT